GCACGTAGCCCGCTAATAATTCATAATACCCGAGCACTCGGACTCGCTGAAAGGTCGAGACATGCATTCGCATTGTCAGATTATCTAAAGGCAGCGGTTCTCAGATTTGCAAAGCATATTTCGTATCAAGATGTAGAATTTTCAAAAGTGTCAAGATCTTTTCTCACTGAAGAATTTTCATCAAAAAACAAAATCATAAAAATTCCTATGTAAAAAATCATTTAAATTCTAATGAGTTGTACTTAAATGTATAATTATACACTATTAAAATATAAGGGATTATCTTTGATAAAGTTTTTGGTGAAAAAAATCAATTTTAGATTTATCAAACTATGTGAATTAATTAAAGATATTATATAATAAAGATATGACAGTTTATATCTAATTTGTTATCAAATTACACATTATTATCTAAGTAAAAGTTTTATTTATTATTACTAGAATAGTAATAGTCTAGTCTAGTCTATAATTATTTGAAAGTCATAACATTTTTCTGATAGAAGACAAAAAGTAGCAAAAGACTCCCTTATTTCATTTTAATCACGCACATAAATCATCTTAGAGTCTTTTTAGTTAAACATTTGAACGTTAGTTATGTAAATGTCTTTTTTTATTGTTTACCAGATGATAATCTGTATTCCATTTAGAACTGAGAACCTCTGATGTAACGCCTCGCTGTTGCCATTAACGCGATCCGATAAGACAGATTACATCGGACGGTGGCATCACTGCGTAATGATATATCTCGCTAATGCGACATCGCACCGGAACAACATCTAGCGGCTTGATTTGTAGTAACGATTACGACATCGTCCTGCATGGGATCAAAATCGCTTATGATTACGATGTGTAATAGAATTTATCCTCGCGGCTATGCATATTGGAAATGCGTGTCGTATGCGATGCGTCGCGGGTTAAACGAGTCAATTACCATCGCATGTTTCGATCTCACGTGGGAAAAGCTAGCATCCTTTCACTAATTCATCCGTTTGTAATAAAAACCTATTTTAATTTTTTAAATGTTGCATTTCAATGTTGTATTTTGCTGTTAAAAAATAAAATCAGCAGAATAATTGATGCATTTCAATTTTTCAATTATTACAAAACATCAAAATTGCAAAATAAGTTTAGTCGATATTATCAATCCTGTTCTTTTTCTTTCTTTTTCAAGAGAAAAGCCTTAGTCATCAGCGTGATGCATAAAGAATCAGGAATCAATGCGATGAGCGCGCGCGATAATCGGTGAAAATATCATTATTATTACTAGTGTGTTTTGCCACGGCGGCATAATGCACGTAAACTGCTTCATCGTGTAACTAAAGCGAGCGTGCAGCCCGATGCAATGCGATTGAATGAGTTGCGGCCTATGTCAGAGAGAGAGATAACAAGCGAGTGACAAATTGTCGCAACCGGAGCGACGAAATTTTAAATTAATGACCCATTCTTGAGCACTGTGTGCCGGTTGCAGCCATAATGTTACCGGGGAGAGGAGATCGTCGTCGGTTCGCGTTAATTGAATGCAATTTTCAGCGATGATATACGACGGTGTTTAACCTGTCTCCACATCGCGCTATTATGATGCTTAAAAATGTATATTTACCTCTTTAAGTTCCCGGCAATTCGAGAAACGCGGAAATAACGAACTATAAATTCGCTTCTTATCGCGCGTTAACTAGCAAAGAGTCGAGCGCGAGCTGTGACAGTTCCTTGATTGATCTGATTTTCTCCTGGCTTGCAGCAAGTTATTTTTTTTTTTTTTCAACGAAACTAAAGCGGGACAAGAGAAAGTTTCATAACTCCGCACGTAGGCCTTGCGTCATATTTTTTGCAAAAATTGATTCTAAATGATTGTAAAAGCGATAAGTCGTTAAAAAATCAAGAGACACGAAGAAAATTAAATAATTCTGCGAATGGTGACGAACGAATACGTAACGTAAACGTAATGTGCACCGCCAGACGTAAAAGTAAGTTGTCACGTCGTAATTTCAAAAGGCTCGTGCATTCACTGCGACGTATTGTTCTTATTATTATGATATTGCTCTTTTTAGTGCAGTGGCATAAAGCTTGCATAAAATTATGCGGAGGAAAAAGTTTCCGGTGTGTTGATAAAGGACCGGCCGTCTGGTGGAAACCATATACATTATCAGCGTCGTGCGAAAGTAAGGAGCGCATTTTCGGGGAGCCGCCCTTAGTCTGGAATAAAAGAACGCGTTACGCCAGTGGAACGTGCAGGAATTACCTCTACTCTCTTGCGCTTTTTCGCTGCACGTTCGTTGGCGTGTTGCTTCGTAATAATAACGACGCCGCCGCTGCGGCACGAAGGCGGGACGCGTCTTTCATTTCGCCGCTGCAACGCGCGCCAAAAGCGGCTAATTGCAGAGATTAGGTGCGATGGCGAAAAAGCGCCGTGGAAAAAGTCGACGTATAATACCTTCCCTGGATATATATATTCAGGGAAGTATTAAGAATATTTAAATATTTATAATTTAAACACCACATATAATCCAAAATTATCAATTTTAACTTTGACAAATATTTTCTTTAAAAGTTCAATAAATTTAGATACTTTTTTAAAGACAAAAAAATTTCGCAAAATAAATTTTCAATATCAAGGACGTTTTTAATTCTTTCTTAAATTTTACTTGAAATTGTGAAATTTTACTTGCAACATTGTTGGATTTATCTCCATCGCGCGTACTCGATCGATATCAACGATGGCGCGAGAGCAGCTGATTATTTCCTACTACATAGGCTCCGTAAATCGTGCATGTACCGATGCCGCCGTTAAGCAGCCACTTTGCCTCATTACGTAGGGTAATGAGGTTTCCCGTGTGTCTGCGATGAGCCGCAAAGGATAAGAACCAATCCTTTATAAGCCGTATAGTTATACAGATACACGCGACAGATGGAAATGTGAGCGTATGACAATTTAAACACCAATCTCTCTTTTTCTCTCGTCCTCCTTTAAAGGTTTGTAGTAACAAGATAGAATTAAAAATGTAATAAAAAAATGAAATAATTGATATCTACAAAAGTGCAACTTAAAAAAAATGTGTCAACCAATAATCGGAGAATTTAAGAGAGAATTAACGACTGTAATAATCGAAGTGATAAAAGATGATAGAAAATAGTTATAAAGATTTGAAGCAAAAATCAATTTGCTTTGAATAAAATTTCCAAGATGGAGATAAATTCAATCCTTTCTGGCAAATCATAATAATAAGCTTACGTAAATTTAGCAACTTTATATAAATTCAAGCAATTAGCGATTGAGATGAGTAGCTGTGAATTATTAATGAGGTTTCAGGGGGAAAAGCGGGAGGAGTTACGGGTAATTTTGCAGTGAGCCGAATGCGATTACGCGGTTCGTTACGCGTATCTGGCATCGATGTTACTTAACGCGGTTGGTTGCACGCGCTCAAAGTATCCATCGTAACGCTGAAAATCGTGTTACGGCCGGTTTTGTAATAATAAACGCGTCGCGTACATGCGTGCAAAAACGCTTCTGCAAAATTCAATCATAATTCGCGCTTCATTCGGCCTTCGATTACTGGCCGGCTAAATAATCCGGGGGGGGGGGGGACGGCGATTATAATCGGCAGCGGACGATTTAACGATTAAATTTCGCTGCGAATAATGGAGTCGTACGAATACAGCGGAAAAGTGATTCAATCCGCTCTTTTATCCGACCACTTTGAAAGCGTATATTTTCATTTTATGTCGTCATTCAATTTCACTCCAAGCGTTATGTCTCTCTTGTACACGTTGCGGAAAGTGCTGCATAATTACTCAGACGCTGACTGAAAAGTGGAACACGCAAACAACAATCTTTTAAAGAAAATTCACTTAAAATTAATAACTAATAAAATATTTTATACTTTCTTTTGAAACTTTTGAAAATTTGATGTTTCGCTATTATGTTGAAAACGAATACATATGAGATTATGCAATATAATTATAAAGTGATGTTTATTATACAGAATTCATATTCGAGATTATCGGATTATTTTCATAGAAACATGAATTTTATAGATTCTAGGGATTATTTTAACTAATGACGAGATAATTATAATAAATTTTATCGGCATAAAATAAACGCATCTAGGCTGCATTAAATCAACATGCGATATTGCTTATTTTCCCACAAATTAAATTCTATCACATTATTATTGTGCTTCGTAAATTAAATATAATTTTAATAACATTTAAATTATTATTAGCCTCCGTCATTAAAATTATTTTCTAATAAATAATTTTGTCATAAACTCTAAATACTGTCATTAAATATGAAATAAAAAATGTCATGTGAAAACTATTTCAAGATGATCCGTCTAAAATTATTATCAGCGTAATAATATCGTTGGTTCATAAATCCAATCTAATTATCGCGAAAGAGAAATCTTCCGCAAGATTTCCTGCAAAACTTGGTCCGTAGAAAGTTCATGTCAACAACACAGAAGCGGCACTCCGCCGCTCGTAAATCCGCGACGTTACACAATACGCTAACGCCGTGGATTCGCGAGCGAAATGTCGGCGATGAATAATGACAAGTCGACCAATTATTACGCCGGGAATCCGACACCCGCAATTAACACGGAGTTACGAGGACGCGTACATCTCCCACCGTCGCGATAATGCACGCGCGTGCACAGCGGACAAGGCACGCCGGGCGGAACTTAAACTATGAATTCTACGAGTTCCTCGAACCGAGATGTACGTCGAAAATACCTTTCGAAAGATATCTATAAAATCAGAAAAGGCACTTGACATTTCGTCGAAGAAGTGGAATGTAGATTTATTGCGAACTCAACGTCCAAGACTTCATTAATGTTAATTTTAGCGTTAAGAACTTAAATGTCTGACGCTTCTAATTAAAAGAAAATTTAAGTCTAATCCCAATGTCGAAACACGCGATTTATTCAAAGGTGCGACAACCGGTATTGTCACACATTTAAATACATCACGCGCGAAATAGTTGGCCAACGGAGTCGAACACTCACCTGGTCGCGTTGATCGTGAAAATGGTCTCGATGGAGTGGCGATCGAGCACGCCGCCGCTAAGCAGGTACTGGACGGCGATCAGGGCGAGGACGATGCAGGCGAGTGCCTTGTAAAGGTGGGCGCGATGCCACAGTGCCACGGCTGCGGCGGCCACAGTCATTGCATGCGCGAGACACCATAACTCCTTCCCTAGCTGCCGTTAGAGGAGCACCGCCGTGCACCACGAGGCGCTCCCCGTCACTGGCCGCTTCCTTAGCTGCAGTCGCAACTGCTCGCGGGCCAGGAACCGATCCTGCCGCCCAGTCCTTCTACCCCACCCCCCTTAACGGGCACGAAGGAAGAAAAGGGCGCCCGCGGCTTCTTATTTCCGTTCGCCAAAAGCATCACCCTTACGGACTCTCATCAAATCCCCTTCAACGAAGATAATTAAGCCTGCAACAAAAACATTCGTCGAGGTCAGACAATTTCTTTCTTCGGAGATCAATGAGAAAACCAATATTATTATTAATAGTTAATAATCAATAATTTAACAGAATTCGCGGCTCTTTTATTGTCCAATAATTTAAAGATTTAGTTGAAGCCACAAGAGCCAGAGCCGGTTAACCTTGCTCCGTTTTTTTATTTTACAAACGTATTGTTTACAATAACTCCACGTTTCGGCGTGGAGTTATTGTAAACAATAGTTAATATTAACAGAATTTTTCACATTTATTATATGAAATTCTATCTGCACGTCAACCATTGATTTATTACAAAAGCATATTTGTATCGTTAAAATTTCAGCACTCTGTAATTTGTCACTATTGTTCAATCGCATTGTGCAATTCATTACGAATTGGTCACCTTATTGTTATTCGCGTAACGTCTCGAGCGAGCAAACAGTGATGCAAGCCGCTTCGTGCATTACATTAACTCACGAAATGCGATTGCAAAAAATTCCAGGAAATGCTAAACACAAGCATTCTCTGTAATTGGGAATTATCAGTCCGTGCGGTTAATCAATTCTCGTGAATAATGGCTCATAACGTAAACGAGGCAATAGCCATTTTTCAAAGTTCAATATTTCGCGAGATTTATTCATTGGAAGTCGAAGCAATAAGGAATGAGAATTCATAATGTTTCATTGTTATGTTTCTTTAGCGGCAATATTTAATTAACTGGTTATCGGCTCGTGATGGAAGCACACTCGATTGTTTCCGCGTAATCTTTATTGCAATAACTCCTCCATTAAAAAGTGATTATCGGCCTTCATTATCGTCGCCTGCCGTCCACAATTTAGCCGTGATTTTGGACCCAAGCGCATATTGAATATTGATCGTTTGATTAATTCGTTGATTAATTAATTTGCAAATTTCTCAGACCATAAATAAATTATAACGTACGCATGAGTTTCGGCGCAAATTCAGATTTTACGTCGGCATTGTGCAATTTGGCAAGCTAAATTCGATAGGGCTAAGCAAGAGAAATAAAAAAGAAAAAAGAAAAAAGAAAAAAAAGAAAAAAAAACACGGCTACGAATTGGAAAGTGGAACAAAAGAGGATTAAACTAACGCGCGCGCTTTACTGCATCGCCGATTGAAAGTAGTCAATGAAGTAAACCGTAAGCTTTTATATTTTCTACACAAAACTCCATCAAATGTTTCCTAAATAAAGTATAAAGTTAATCCAACTGTAAACTATAAAATATAAAAGATATTTTCAACTGTAAATATATGCTTGACTGGATTTGGCTGGTTAAAATATACAATTTGCAAAGGAATTAATTTATGAATAAGCTCACTAATTCATTTTATTATTACGTATATAATACGAAATTTTACGCGCTATGCACCTTTTCATTATTTTTTCAAATACAGCATATTGCACTCGCGGTGCACGCTTTCAATCAGGCGCCGCGAAACCGGAGAGGGGGAGGGCGATCGTCCACCCAGAGGGCTACGCCCCCCTAAAATTTTCTTCAGGTATTTCATGACCGAAAATATTGAGCATCAAATATTTACATGAAAGGTGGAAAAATGAGTTATTTTTCTTTTTTTTTTCTTTTTTTT